GGAAAGGTGCTTAGATGGTGGTTTAGCTGGTTTAATATTTTAGCATAGCAATTTCTTTGGGCTCCCTAGAGAGCTAACAATTCCCAAGGGGGAGGTTGTGCTCTTGGGAGAATGGCAGCAGCCACTGCATTTTACTTTCTTAACTGTTTTCATTCAAGTCTGTTATGATACGGTTGTGATTTGCTGGAGATTTCCAGTGTTGGCCTTTGCCCAAGCCTGACAGGTGTCTTACGGCTTAAGTGTTCCAAAATACCACTTTGCAAAACAGGAGAGAAGGTAATCGCAGAATGCAGTTCCTGCGTTTTGCAAGTTAAGAATTAAGGCTAAGGCATTGTGGATTTTCCCAAATTTAAGTGTATAATGTGGATTGAAAGCCAAATCCGGATCTCCTGGCATCCATCCTTGTGACTCTCCTTGCCTGTTGAGGACCGGCATGAAATTAGACAATTCTAGAGGCTCTGAAGACGGCAATGAAAGCTGTAGGAAGTATTTTTCTCATGGTGTAGTTGGAAGAAGAGTTATGCCATGCTTCAGGTGTCATGGAGCATGGAAATGGGCAGCTGGTCCTTGTGTGCAGAAGATCTCAGTTACAAGATTGCAAAATTAGAGGGTTTAGCTGGTCTTAGGTCATTTAGGTACTGTGCAACAAACCAGCATTGCCAATGAGTGAGCACTCAGAGGTTGGACTTGCCTGTTTTGCTTGGCTGCTTTAGCAAATATACTGAGCCCTTCTGTTTCGGGGCGGGGGAAAGAAAGAAAGATCTTGACTGTTTGGGCCCTAGTGGAAGGGTTGTACAGGAAAAAATGTTCTGTTTGCAGGCAGCACAGTTGATGTTTTTGCTGATCTTGAACATTTTGCTCATCTCTGCACGCTTCCTCTTGGAATCTCTAGACAGCTCTTTTCCCCAGAATGTGTGCTGCCAGAAATTTTTGGCAAGGATCCGGTTAGTTGCTAAAACTAAAGCAACTGCTGTACCATGTACATGTTCCAGATCAGCTTTATAATAGGAATTCACTTCCGAGACTTTGCTGCAGTCAAACAACACATCAGTCCTGTGCTTTCTTCCTCACCCCATGTTATCTTATCCTTCTTTTTCAGAGAGAGATTTGGCCTGTTCCTTGTCTTTCACCCAACCTCCTACATGGCTGTATTGTCTTTCTCTGTCCTAGGTGTATCAAACTTCATTTTTAGCTGCTGTCACTCCTCAGCTGGTGTTTCAACAGTAGCTCTCCCTTGTCAAAGCCTAGCTGAAAGTATGGGGCAAACGAAAAGGATGTCACAGCAGTGCAGGAACACAATAAATGGAGTCACCAAGGGGTTATTTCCCAATTCCCTTGTACTTTTTGGAGCCTAATCCAGACAGCAAAATTATCTTAAGCTTGTATTTGTGTCACTTGGTAAAATTCACAGATCTAGAGAAGAAGGCAAGCTATCTTGCATAGTCTACCTCTGAGATACTGACTTCTGCCCTGTGTGGCCTGCTTCCATCTGCTCTGTGTTAAACAGCAAGGGAAGGCAAGAGAGCTTGCTGGTGCTGTTTCACCCCCCGCCTTTTGTACCTCCAGCCCAGCTCGTCACCAAATGCCCAGATCTGCTGGTGTGGAATGTTCTTAAGATCTTGTTTCCAGATGTTCTGGACATTGTCTCAGCTGGATATTCCCCTCTGATCTTTGTTAGACCACTGTTCAACATGTGTTTTAC